ACTCAGGCTGCAGAGCCTCCTCTCCCTGCTCCCAGGCACTTTCAGCGTCTTTGATGGCTCCGAGAACCTTAAATTAATCACCCACTCAAAGTGCTACCATCAGCCCAAGAATAACCACTCCTGAAGCACTCCTGGCTCCAAAACTCCAAGGTTACTGGCTTCTGCAGCAACGGGAATTGAAGTCAGACATGCAGCAGGGTTTCCTCAATGGAAGAAAGGAATGTACTATGGAGTTGGGGGTGGGGTAGGCGGACAACGAAGGTTCTAGTAGGACCCCCAAAGGAGAATCAGGAAGGACGGAGCAAAGGGGTGCACAGAAGAGGCAGGTGACCTAGGAATAGGAGGGTCTCTCCACTCTCCCCCTCCTTAGAAAGGCCAAAAAAGAGATTTGGGCTTAAAAAAAAAAGGTAGCACAAAAAAATGTGGGTCACCCTCCAAGAGCTTCCCGATCACAAGGTAAAGTTCCTGGAGTCTTCTCTATGGGCTGGGATGAGGAACTTTGCTGTCTGAAGTCCTGGTGTAGGAGGCAGTGGCCTGGGTTCCTGGCAGGGTCCTACCACTGCCTCAGTAGGTGTGGCCTTGGAGGAGTGTGGGTCCCTTTCAGAGCCTTGGTGTACCCTATAGTACACCACAGGGTTGGAGGGAAGGTGCTTGGGGACCCTCCAGGGGTAGCGCAGGCCAGCAAAGTTCTAGAAAGCCAGCTATCTTGCTCCTACACCATCCTGTGGCTGCCCTCTGACATAGACGCACAAATAAGCACAGATCATAGGTGCCCTCTGCTGCGGCCGTAGCTAGATAAAGACAAATCTCCAGGCAGGGGTCCAGTTCCAATTGGCCCTGGGGTCTGGGCTGGGGCCACAGGCCCAGCATGGGTGCCTAGGAAGTGAGCATAAAGGTACAGGCTGTGCATTAGATTCCTTTCCCTTGGTTGTGTGCTGCATGTCCATTTGCAATATGCATGGACATGCATGTCGAGGTTGCAGCAAGCATGCAAGAGACATTCAGGTGAGCACATGGCAGGAATTTATGTATACAAAAAGAGTGCCCCTGCATTGGGTGCTACCGGGCAGTTTCTATTCAATTCCACAAAATCCTATCGCTACTCCCACCCCCTCCCCCAGTCCCATCTGTGTGCTGGGTGCTGAGGACAGACGGACAACACAGGAATGCTGCTCCCAGGGTTCCTGCAGCAGAGGGCCAGCTGGGCCTGAGATGCAGAGGACAGCAGCTCCGAGTCCCACCAGCTCTGGGCTGGGGCACTCTCTCTGGGCAACCTCTCCTGAATCTGTTTTCTTGTCTGTCACATGGGGAGGAGATCAGCAGCCACCTGGTGAGGCTGTGAAGGATACAGGGAGAGTGATTTAAGAGCACATAGCACAGTGCCTGGCACACAGTGGGTGCTGCCACCCGGCTGGAAATCTTAGTTCAAACTCCAAGGGTGCACTGGGTGGCCACAGGGAGCAGAAGGAGCAGTCCTGACAGGGAGTCAGGCATCCTGGGGTCTGGCCCTCGCATCTGCCACCAATGGACCATGTGACTTTGGTCTCTAGAGCCTTAGTTTTCTTGGAAGCAAAATGGGGCTGTCAAAATATGAAGATGGACCTGGCAGGGAAGCCTGGGGTTAGGGGTGCTCTTTGCTGGGATTATTTTCCAGCCCAGGAGATGTTCTTTCTCAGACAATCAGGGTGGAAGTTTGGGGGCTCCGGAGTTAAAAGCCTGAGAACCCCAGGAACTGCCGCCACCTCCTCCCCTCCCCATTCCCACAGTTTCTGACCCCAGGGACAAGGCTGAGAGAGGATGTTTACAGAGCAGTAAACCTTCACATAGAGAAAGTTCGCTGGGCAGCTGGGGGCTGGGAGCAGCAGGCAGTGTCTCACAGAGGCTTGGGAAGCATGGTGGGCAGTGGGGCCTTGCTCTATAGCAGCCCCTTCCAGCCCTCAGATTTCAAGGGAGGGCGGTGTGTGGCCTTTGAGAGGGCTCTGAAAGGGGTGAGCTTCTCCATTCCCAAGGCTCAGGAAGCAGGATGGACAGTGATGGGTATTTTGTACCAAGAGCAAGGCCCAGGAAGGGCTGAGGAGCTCAGGGGCTGGGGCGCAGGGTGGAGAAGTGGGCTTGGTGGCAGGACCAAGGACTGAAGAGAAAGGAAGAGCCCTAGGGCCCAGCCACCCCTCATTCTGGATCTCAACAAGAACTCTGGAGTTGGCACTTCTCACTTCCCAGAGCAGCGGCTGCTGAGAGGAGAGGCCGAATCAGGCTTGTCCTCTGGGCAATCCCCCAGGCCCAGGTGCCAGAAAAGGTGCAGCTTGTGCAAAGGGGCCAGGCTGCCAGGTGTGAGAGGTGTGAGAGGTGTCCCAGCTCCTCCTTCCCGAGCCTTCTCTTCCAGGTTCTTCTGAGCATCCCTCTCGCCGCTGCCTATCTCCCGGGGAAGGGGTACTAACTAACTGCACACTGGACTCTCCTCACTTGGGGAAGGGGAGGGCTAAAAAGCCCAAGGGCAGGAAGCACTTCTTGGCAAAAACACACAAGACCCTGCAGTGAGTGGCTGAGAAACTTCACATCTGGAGCTCCTAAAGAACAGGAGACACTTCTGTGTGGGTCCCCTCCCCCAGCCCCAATAATAACAACCATCCCTCACAATCCGACAGGCCCCTGCAGCTTACCAAGCTCTTTCCCACCCATTACCTCATCCAAGAGGGAGGCCCACAAGGTTGGGGTTTCTGTCCCCTTTGACAACCTACAGATCTAAAGCTCAGAGACCAACACAAGGTCACAGAGCACCTAAGAGGTGGGACTCCTGGCCCTCCTTGAGCTCTGAGATGAATGAAGAGTTCCCGAGATCGCTAAACATCCGGACATTTTCACACCACATTTCCTCCCTGAGAACTCCAAGAAATGCCTCAGCCTGGGCTCCTGGGGACAAGTGCTCAGGACAAGCATGCCCCTGGCCAGGGCATTCCTGGCATCCAGAAAGGGCAGGATGTGGGGCAAAGGTGTCAGCAGATTTAGCTCCTGGAGAGGAAGGAGAGGCCCTTCCAAAGGTGGTGACTACAGTGGCGGACTGAGAGGTAGATGGCAGGTCCTTTACCCCCAGTGACCCTCATGGGGTCTGAGAGGTCAGGCCTTGGGGGCTAAGGAACCCTACTCAGAGTTGACTAGCTTTCCTAGGCCCAACTATGCCTTGGAAAAGTTATCTCCCAAGAGGAGCCTATGGAGGACAATTTGTGATCTGAATGTCTCAGCTTCCTTGGGCACCTGAGGGGGCTGCCACAATGTCACCATTTTTTTCCCCTTTGCTGAGGATCAAACCCAGGGCCTTCTGCACCCTAGGTAAGTGTTGAATTGCACCCCCAGTCCTCATGCAGTCACTCTCAATGAGCAGCTCTTGCCTCTCACACCCAAGGCCACCAGCAATGAACCTCATCAATCCAACTATCTTCTGTATCAACAAACATTCATCTCAGGCCTCCCAAGGGATGGGGCTACTCTTAACTGTTGACCAAGCCTGACTTTATGTTCTGAGCAATCTCACTTCTCTGTCCCTGGCCCAGCCCTGCAGGGGTATGTGTGCACAAAGTCAAGGCTGCCACCCCCAGGCACAATGGCAGAGGGAGTTTTCTACCTCAGCCATTAAGTTCTATGGGTCCAATTCCAACTGGGCAGAAGTAGGCAAGCAGGTACTAGGGGGGCAGGCAAGAAGATAGAGCAAAACACAGGTGGAAAAGGCCAGGTAGAAGAGTGGCCAGGTAGACAGGTGGAGAAACAGAAGCAGATAGAACTGGACAGGCCAATGGAAGGATGGAAGGAGACCAGCAGGAAGACTGCTGGCCAGTTAGGTGGAGAGATGAACACACAGGCCAATTCTCACACAGGTGGAAACTCAGTCTGGCAGAGGGACAGCCAGACAAGCAGAACTGCTGAACAGTCAGGTGGAGGGACAGGCAAGTGGACCACCCAGGAGACCCCAAGACCAAAGGACCCCAAGACTCTGGCAGTGGTGAGAAGGGATTAATAGATGCACATTTTCCAGGCACATTAGGTCTCTCTTGGGCACCTCCAAGCATCCCAGAGCCAGGCCCAGCCCTTTAACTGATATCCACTGGGCCTCTCATGTTCCCTGCTGGGCCAGGCTGTCCCCCAAGACTAGTTCTGAGCTGCCAAAATTCACTCTTCACATCCAAGAGGGGTCAGTGTTTTTGAAAGTTGTAGGAGACTGCTGAGGGGGGGCAGGGCCCAGCGTCAGTGTTTCCAAACCAACCCCTCTCCTCTTTCTTTTTCCCCTAGTGCCCAAAGCCAGGCCTGGTGCAGCGGGCCAGCAAGGCAGGCGAGCTGGGCCCAGCAAGCTGGGCAGGGCAGGGCATCTACTGCTACTGCCTGAGAAGTTGAGGATGGAGGGCAAGACTAGTGGAAACAGATAAGTCAGACACAGCACACAGGCCTGTCTGGCCTGGGGAGACCTCCAAACACCTACAATCTGAGACCAGCCCTGGGCTGTGCTGGGGGGGGGGGTCCCCGGAGAGGAGCATCTCCAAGGGGAGCCAGGTGGGAGCCCATCACAGCTACAGAGCTGGAAAAGAAGTAGCAGCAAGTGCGGGGGCTAAGAAGTCCTCTTTGTGTCTGGGACACAGGGAGTGAGAGGTGGGGAAGAGGAAAAAAGAGCCCCACATCAGTGGCTCCAGACTTGCTGAGCGGAGGGGATTAAGAAGCTGTTTGTGGGGAGTACCTGAGACAGGAGCAGGAGGTGGTGATCAGGGCGGAAATAAGGAATAGAGCTGGAGGAAGGCTGAAGCTAGGGCAAGCAGGGGTCAGAGCTGGGAGATCAGGGGTTAGGGTCAGACTGGGGGTCCAAAAACCGGGCTCAGGCCTGAGAGGGAGAGGCGAGGGTCGGCCTCGGGGTAGAGGGGTAGGAGGCGGAGCCAGGGCGGGCGGGGAGTCCCCAGGGAGCCCGGCTAGTAAAGGGACAGCGCCGGGGCACGCCAAGGGGCGCGGGGTCGCAAACTCACATGAAGACGTGGTAGACGAAGGCCCAGCCGCGGGGCCGCTCCAGCACGTTGTAGACCCAGTTCTGCAGGCGACGGTAGCGCTTGTGCGCCGCTGAGGAGCGCTGGCCACAGGCGGAG